CTGAGAAGTAGCCTAATCCTAGTGCGCAAAATTACCTATATTGGTTCGCCTCTTGCTTCTGATCAGTTGTGCAGTTACATCGTGCAATCGACTTCTTTTCTTCAAATCTATTCGCATCCCTCACTATTGCACATTCCCACCTAAATTATCAAATTAGAAGACAGGTGGGATGCACTTGCGTCCGTCATCATCAGCCACTGCCGCCGATACTAATACTTCAAATGGTATTGAAAGTAATCCTACCCATTGGCCTCTCCTGAGCAGACATGACTGACTGGCGCTACCATGCAGCTAACGTTTACAAGATAGGATGATTCCACCCTCATGGGTACACAACTGGCATCCGATTACCGAAATAACTTCAGACAAATGAGGACAAGATATTTCGCATTGCTGGTTGGCCACGTCCGGTGTTTGACGGATCGCATGTCAGCCATAGCGCCTACTAGCATCACAGCATCACAGTGTCCGTATGGAGGCAAACCTGCAAAAATATTCTCGCCAACTCGCGTCAGTGCCTCACTTTGAACAACTCTACACTAACACTATCTGCACATTTTTAACCATCTCAACTCTGCAGGGAAACTGATCTACGAGCTGATGCAGAGAAGAAATAAACGAAATAACCGTAACCTACGAACCTCAATCCTACTAACGGCTTCGCATTATACGCAGAACGTAGATGGGCGCTCGCTTCTTGTAACATTGACTGCTCTCCATTGCTTTACAGATGCGTTTGTTATGGAGACTTTTGTCATTCTGTTCTCGGGCCCCACAGCTGAGGGTTGGTTTTAATGACTCGCCTAAGACGTTTCAACCAGGTGGAGAAATTGGACGATTACTTCAGTAATTGGAACCATAAGATGGCGGTGGATGTGTCCTGCACAGGAGGCTAATATTCGTAAGGATATTTGCCTATTTCTTACCATGGTGCTTATCGGAGTTGATGGCGACATGGGATGCAGCGCGGGCGTGGGTGTCATCCGCTGGGGTACTGTATTTGTGCAAGAGTTTATAGATTCTTATCAGTGAGCGTGTCTTGCGTCTGTGTGCATAGGGTTTGTCTGTTGCAGTGCGGCCGTAATTGCATTGGCGCGAGGGATGTGGGTTGGCATGTCATTCGCGTGCGTCTAATATTCGTAGGTGAATTTGTTGTAAGCTGGTGACATTGATCTGTAGCGGTCGTGCTGTGGCTGGTCTCCACCATGCTTCTGCACCTTCCGTCAACGCATCACTTCCCGTTGTTTGTTTGCGTTGGCGTTGGCCACCTTGATGATTCCTTGCATTCCTCGTTGCGATCCACATTACCTGCTAGTTGGTGCCGTTGTTAATATTGATGAAGTTGTGTGCGGATTTCCCAGTAGGTCACATGCAGTTGCCTACGTTTTACTAG